GGGGGACAAGGTGTCCTATTTATATCCGCGAGAAACTCGCGCCTAATGTGTAGACCGGTATTGTGCAACTTTCATCGGGCTTTCCATAAGATGTTCCACCGCGTCTGAATCCGTGAGGGAGAGAAACACGAAGGGAAATAGCAGTAATATCGTTTCATTAGCGAAATTAACATGAAAACACGAAGCGATATCTTGGGAAATGAAAGAAGAATAAATTTCTACTGAAGCTTAATCCTCCTTTTGGGGCCGTTGTGAAAGAGATTCCGCGGTTTTCGTCTTTAAAGAGAATAACGTGATAATATTAAAATGTCTGAAGGTTTCAGAAAAGATTTAAATTTGTATTAAAGGATAAAGGAAGGGCCCTCTCCGAGAGTTCTCCAAAAAATCGAATCCAACAACGAATTGTATTCTTTATTTCCTGATTTCCGACAATAATGTACCACCCTGTATACTGCGAACGAGATGAAACAAGGGAGCGAGTAAAGACGGAGTCGTAGCCCCGGGCGAAAAATTGCCCGCGCTCGCATACAAACAATCCATTCATTTAACAATGCGCCGCTCACGTTGCGTTCAAGGCCGCTGTATCGCGGGATCAAAGAGCTCCCGCGTGTGCAGGAGAGCTGCCTCGCGGAGAGTTGATCATCTCGCCCGAAGGGGGTAGCGCACAGCTCAAAATAATCCGTATTGTGTATTCTCCCGCTCGCGAGATCGTCCCCCCGCCCTCCCCCTCGAGAGTTCGGACCTATCCCGTTTTCGAGACAGAAGGCATCTTCGCAGCGCGCGGCGCGCGTTAGTCCGCGCGCCGTTGAGTTTATCGAAATTCAATTATCGATAAACGTATATCGCTTACGATAACGGCGCTAATTATGATAAAAATGTTCCTACGCGCGTAATCGCGAAGATACGCGAGAAAAATCACGCCTGTGTGTCTCGCACGTACCTACCTATAATGCGCGACGCCTCCGGATAATTGAAATACCGGTTACCGCGACGCGCGATAAACAATACTATTGCCGATACCCTCGAGAGCCAAGAAAACATCGAGTTTTCTCAACGCGCAATAAAAGAATAACGCGCGTTTCCGCAGTCATCCTATTTTCTCGATGTCGCCCGACTCTCGCATTTCGACACGATAAGATAGACACGAAAAGATGACGACGCGATACGCGTTCGTGGAAGAAGCTTCGGTTGCGTTGGACGGATTTGAATATCGACTTTATCGAAATACACCGATTACCGGTGACTACCGGTTTCCTTCGGGTTGCTTCGCTCGCTCGCTCGCTTGCACGCTCGTTCGCTCTCGTGCGTGCAACGCCCGAGAAAGAGAAACGAGCCGACCGGTCGCGTTCGGCCGGAGCGAGAGGAGCGGAACGGAGAGAAATACACCTTGCACCTGTCGGCTGGCTACAGAAGTGGCTTTCCACTAAACTACGTCACCTCAGAATCGGCTCTACCGATTAAAGGTCGGCGATACTCTCGCATCAGCCATCTTGAATCATGACGCGGTGAACGAGAGGATAAATGAAGACGCTGTTCCTAACTGGCTATTCAAACGGACTTAAATCGAGGAAATACAACGCGAAGCCAGTTAATAATTCTAATACAGCTATTCTAATACACACACACATATATCTTTTAACGTAATAAAGAAAGATCCTTTCAAAAGCGATGTATTTGCGTTGCTTTGAATAAAAGTTTTGATTTTGACAGCTTCTCTCGGCGATATTATACAAATCCCCGCAACTTTTCTGTTATAATGGTTTCATCGGCGAAAAGTTATTTGAGAGCGCAAACCGCGGGAAGTTTTTTTTTTCGTTTCCTTTGATCGCTTCCGGGGTCGTAATTTCCGGCACGGGTTTTAAGAAGAAAACAAGTTGCACGCGGAGAACAGGGCTCGCAAAAATTTCATTCCGCCGAGGAAGTTAAATATTTTCTATGTCGTATCGTAATGGAAATTTGTAATTTTGCCGCTCAAACGTGGGACAAACGTAAACCGCGATCGGGACCGCGGCGGGCGAGACGCTGTTTGTAGAAAGTGGAAACGAATTGCAAATGTTAGCACAATTGGCTCCGGCAACGATATTCGCGGAAAAATAGAGAAAACCGCGCGGGACGTGCGTCTACCTGCGAGGCGGATATTAAAATGTTGCACATATAAGCTCGTATGTAATTGCTCGTGGCAACAGTTTTTCGCGAAATTTCTGTAATCAATTGCGACGTTGATGCAAAGCAGAAGCGGTGATGCGATGTGAGAGATATTGGAGACAATAAGTGTTAATAAATGTTGATGGCTGCACTGTACGATGCATTCAATCGACGCTTTTATACAAAGGCGGTACACCTCGATTTATTTTTAGACACTCTGGTCTCGGATTACAGAATTGTAATCCTTTCTGTCCGCACGAACGAGCGATAACCGGAGCGAGCGCATAATTTTCGCGACGTAATTCTAGCCTTTAAACGTGAGGTGAAAGATGGAACGTGTGGGCAAGTGTGTGTCCGAAAAAGCCGCGTTGTAAGTATTACATCATTATTACACTTTCGAGCGATTGCGTCATCGACTTGTGGCCACGATCATTTCGCGATCGAATCGCATCTATCGGAGAAGGAAATAGCTAAGTTATTGGCGAAATACGGATTCTTATCGCGGCCGCAATTATCAACCACGCGCAGATACCGATCGTCCGACGACGACGACGACGACGACGACGACGACAACGTCAACGACGACACACGAATACGTGCTGCACAATCGCCAAGTCGCGCTTATCTTCGAACAGTAAACAAAAGGACACGCGATATTTATAGATCGCGCGGATAATATCGTATTGAGCGCAGGTATCAATAATCTCAAGTTACATTATTCATCGTCGTTGGGCGTCGGATGGCCGCGAAATTAAATGCGAACGCGTGGAACACATTCCGCGGCTCTTCCGCAGGTGGGCAAAAATATATAGGAACGTAACTTGCGGAGAGTCAAAGGGAAATTTCTCCCGATTGCGAGTTAGCAATCAAACTTTGGCGGCGCGTGAAAGTAAGACTGGTGACGCAAACGACTCCGAAAAGGGACTCCGAGGGGGAAATTTCGTTTGCCGCCCGTTCGAAGAAAAAAAAAACTCGAGTTCGATACTTTAATCAGAGAATGTCAATACGTCCTACGTGCTCGACGCACAAGAGCGCAATACACTTCTTTTAATAGACGGCATATATATTTAACAGTGTTACGCAAAATATTTCTACAGAACAGATAATTTATTTTTAATAATATGCAGTTTCTCTCACGTTTTCTCTTCGGGATAGTATCCGCACATCGACGTATTGGAAAATGTTATCAAATAGAAAGTACGAGTAACGAAACATCCGAGATATTCCGCGAAGATAATTCCGAAATGTCAAGTATAGCGCGACAATTAGTAACGTATAAATTACGTATCGGCTATATACTCGCTGTATACTCGCTGTAATTACAATTGTCACAGTAAATTTTCGGATTATCACTGGCGATACGCCGCGGCATATCGGTATCTGTAAGGTATAAACAAGTGGATATGTCGGTATGTCTGTCTATGCAAGGTGGTATTGGAATATAAGTAAGCATTGGCAGCTCTTTTTAAATTGGTGCCGTCCCTACGTGTACCCGTGCCCGATTTCCCGGCCGTCGCGATAACGCGACGAGTTATCGGATTTAAAATTTACGTAACGATGCACTGCCGCGCGCGTCCGCGCGCGGAATTATTTTCGATAACCCGGTACGATAACGGTCGCCAACCGAGCGGGTTGGCGGTCCGCGTTATAGTGACTTGTCGCGTCCAATGTTTTTTTTCCTCTCGCGTTCGTTAGCGGCCCTCGGTCACGCTCCGGCGGAGGAGATTGCGCTGAGATCATTCATCGTTCGTCGCCGCGCGAAATTAGCGGCCGCGATTCGGATTATACGATTACGAGATACCTTTTCCGCCTGCCCGGACCTCGCCAGAAAGTTCAAGAAAACGATCCGCGACGTGAGCCCGGACGGGCGATAATTCTGCGAATTAATCGCCGCTGTCGTCGACGAGCGGGATTAAACGGAGAGTAAAATCAGATTAGCGTGATCGATCCTTTAGAAAACGATCTCTCTCTCTCTCTCTCTCTCTCTCTTTCCGCTCGATAAGACTGGACGATCGGCGAAAGAACGTGACGTCCATCCGCGCGTGGATTTTAATCTTAAATCTGGTCGAAAGAAGTGTACCCTTCGAGATATAAGCTCGCCTTCCTTATTGCCCGAACTCGCGACGTTTTGCTTACAACTGATACACGTTTCTATTATCCTGAACACCTGCGCAAATTATACTTTAACAACTCAGCATTTCGTCACACTTAATGTTGTGTTCATAAGTGTGTTGCGTCGTAATTGTACTTTATAATCAATGCATTAAGAAAAAAAACAGCGTTAATAACGCGAAAGTAACGCGAATGAAGCGCTCGGTCAGATTTAAAATTATATAGTTTCATCTTCGTTTTCAAAGCAACGAACTTTGACTGCATTCGCCAAGCATATGTTTAAAGGCCCATACACGAGCCGCATGGGATTCTGTCGAAACTTCTTAAAAGGCACATCGGCAGGCCTATAAAAGTGACAAGTGCGCTCGATGTATTCTAGCCGCTCGGTCAGGTGCGCGCCTGTCGCCTAGTGAAGACACGTAAACAATGGATATGATGATCGGCGCGCAGCTGTTCGTGGCCCCCGGAGTCCGACTGCGGCAAGTAACTGTACTTCGGAAAAGGAGTCCCGCTGCGAGTATTGGCTGTATACGAAAGAGGACCGACGGAAAAATCGCGGGCTGCTGCTGCGTACGCGGAGCGCGCTTTTACAACACTCTCGCGTTCGTATGCTCTTGTACACGTCGACGAATCCGAGCGACGGAGGGAGACGCGGAGGGCCAGAAGACTCGCATTCACTCGCAAGCACGCACGCACGCACGCATGCACGCACACGTACACAGAAAATAAAGACAGAAACTCACTCCAGAAATAATGCACAGTATCCATCCAAGCCGCGGTGGCGAAGATAGGACGTTGCCTTCCTCCGGGATTATCGGAGCGCGCTCAGCAGCGACCGTACGAGAAAACGACACAAAACGTCGGGTTTCCCCCTAAGATTCCTCCGCGCGACGACACTGATCTACTCCTCCACCTTCTCCTCGTCGCCGCCGTCGTCGTCGTCGTGGTCGTCGTCGCCGCCGTCGTCGGCGTAGTACGACGACGACAATGCACTACTGACACTCCCCCGGGTCGGCGAGATTACACGTCGCTTCACGCGTCCTCCCAATTTCACGTCGCGACAGTCCCGACGTCGCGGGCACGCGGAAGGCCACGGAAAGATCGGCGCGGGATTATACCTCGCAACGGATTTCTCTCGTCACTCCGGCGACACTCACCGGCCACCCGACGACAGCTTCCACGTCGCGCGTCGCGCCGCGACGCCTGCCGCGTGCATTACCCCGCGGCGCACGCTTTTCCCGCGTTCGTTCCCGTCGCGCGTTCACGCACGCTTACGCGCGGTCGAGCTCTAGTCAAGCACACGCACGCACGCACAGATGGAACGGCCGCCAAGAGGCGAAGGCAACGTAATACGCACGTATACGAACGGCCGGGAGGCACAAGGATGTTATACACTTCGCTCGCTCTACCTCGTCTAGCGGACAGACACGATCCCGCCGGCTGTATCCCGATTCAGCTTCGCGCCTCGCGACTGAGGCACGGCGATCCGATGCGATCCGATGCGATGCGATGCGATGCGACGCGATGTGATGCGTCGCGTGCGTCCGCGCGCGCCGCGACACTTTTCAAAACAATATACAACCAACACACCAACCAGCGCACGTCTCACCCCGTACGTGTGCTCGCTTTAAGCGCTTTCTCGCGCCACCGCCGTGCGCCACTCCGCGGCTCCGTCTCCGTCACCCCTTCCCTCCCCTCTATCGTCTAACTCTCTATCTCTCTCTCTCTCTCTTTCTCTGCCCCTCTCTACTCCTACCTTCCTCTCTTCCAGCCAACGGCGGTTTTTCCGCACGCACACGCCGCCGCGGATCAATAATTCACCATACGAATTCACCAGAAGCGGGCGAGCGGCGACACGACCGAGCGAGCGAGCGAGCGAGCGAGTGAACGAGCGGGCTGGCGGACAGGCGACTAGGCGGAGAGAGAGCAGCACACGTTTCTGTTACGGCGCCCCCGCTCGCGCGCCGGCAGCGAGGAAACGCGCACCGCGCACGCAGCCCAGCATACCACCGGCACACACCACCGACGCACACCACCGTCGAGCGACGACCGCGAGAGGAGAGTTGCCCTAACCTCGACGGTGAGGTGAGCCGCGCCGCGCCGCGCCGCGTCGCGTCGCGTCGCGCTGCGCTTGCGAATCGGCTTACCTCGTACGCGCTACCGACGCGCACAGCTGACACAGACGGTAGAGCACAACGCTTGTAAACACGCGAGAGCCCCGTACGATTCCGAGTACGCGCCGAAGGTCGGGCGCACGATGTAAACAGCCCTTCTACCGAGTAAACAGGCTTCCGGTCGAGGGAGCGCGTCTTTCCTTCTTTCTTTCTCCCGATCGAATGCGTACCGGCGAGATGGCTTTTTCTCTCGTTCTCTTACTTTTTTCTTTGTCCCGCGTGATTTGCTCCGACGTTTCTCTCGCGCGAGAAACTCCCCCCCCCTCTCTCTCTCTCTCTCTCCTACCTACACGCTCGTGTTTCCGTCTTACCTCGGAGCAATTTCGAGATCGCGGCTCCGAGTGCTCCGACGGCGGACGCTCGCCACGGCCGGGCGGAAGTACCGCACAAGCGTGACAAGTCGAACGCGCGAGAGAGCATCGGTCGCGCGGAGCGGATAATAACGGCGCGGCGTCGCGCATTCACTTCGCTCACTTCGCTCTCATGCTGAATATACACCGCGCGTTATGCAGAGTCTTTCTCTTTCTCTTTTTCGCACGCGTACACACATACACACACACACACGAACGTACACGGCGTCTCTCTCTCTCGCTCCCTCTGTCACACTCTCCCTCGTCGGTCCGTCTGTCCGTTTGTCAGTGACACTCACGCTCCGTCTCTATCCGTCTATCTCGCTCTTTCTCTCTCCGCGGGTAATATCGCCATCGTCGCTGCGGTCGAACTCGTTCCTCGCGCGGGCCCGTTGCGAGACGACGCCACCGTCAGGACGTCCACCACGGGCGTGGACGCGCTTCGCTCGCGTACTTACTTACGGCGCTTTCGAGCATTAGCAATTTTCTATCGTGTTACTTACCACTTGGCTGAGCTGTGTGACGTGGCGGCACGCGCGCGAGCGCGAGGGCGGCCCTTATTTTCGCGGACGAAAATTCGCACGGCGTTATATCGGCGCGCGGTACTGCACCACGGGTAAATACGAGGACGGTCACTCTCGTGTTTTTGGTATGCCAGGAATGGCACAAAGAATCTGGACAACGCACACGCCTGCTGCGCAGCCGGTCTGCGCACACGCTGACACCGCTTAGGCGGCCGCGGGAGAAACCAGAATCCCGGACGCGGCCGACGCCGGCCGAGGCGACCCGAAGCCGCGGCTCGCCGCGCTCCCCACCACTCGCGAAGCGGTCCTACCACTCCTACTACCCCATTCTCCCGCTCGCCCCCACCATCGGTGCCCGCTGGTCGCCCCCGCGCCCCGCGCTTCCACAGTCGGATCAGTCGCGTCACGCACGTAATAGAGGTAGGATGTTAGTCAGGTGCGCTCTCTCACGTTCGTTCGCTCTCTCTCGCTTCAAGTTCGAGAGGCACTTGTTGAATTTCAGGGGTCGCATTTTAGGCTTTGCAAATAAATGCGCTAATAAATGAGAATGTAATATCACCGTGGGAGGGGTGGAGGGGAGGAGGGGAGAGCTCGACGAGGAAACTCGTAACTGGCCAATTAACGCGTCTTTCATGCGTTAATTCTCTCGAGTGATGATGCGTAATCGAGTAGAACATACCGTTCAAAATTGAGAAAACAAAGAATGGTTTCCTCCGGATTTGCGAATGTATTTTCCATTATGTTGCACGATATATCCGGATAAATAGTTCGATAACGTGACGCTATTTATTTGTAACTTGTTGCATATACTGTATAACTTTCTTCTAAATCTTTATTTGTTGCTATATAATCATTCAACATCGTAGTATGTTGTTTATCAAATACGCATTTAATGAAACTATTGTTATGAGGAAGTAAGAATAGATGCCTCATTTATTTTTTAAACTCGCATGTTTTATATTTGGAGATGTGAAAATTGAATTATAAAAATCTTATTCGTGTAAAAATAATATGCAACATTTTACAAAATTATAAAATAGCTTCAGACACACACAACTTCTAAGAAATACAAAATATTATTATAACTTACAATTAGATTCTATTCATCTTTCGAGAAAGAGTTTCTTTGTAAACTAAACAACATAAACGTATAGAACGCGCGCGTGCGTGTGTTTTTTTTAATCTTAAAGCTGTCGGAAGCATTTCTGAAAGTTATTTGGTGAAAGTTTTTTTACCTTTGCGCGTTGCATTCGAAATATTAGTAACAGACGTGTACCCGCGTGTGTGTTGTGTATCGGGACGCCTTAATGCTCTTGATTGAAAATTAGCTGACGTCAAATCGGGAAAATATAAAAAAATATTCTAACATTGCCATATTTTACTAGGAACTAGATGGAGAAAAACTGAAGCAGCGAAGAATAATGCAGTAGACAAACTTTGCAAGCACATTAATTAAAAAAAACGAACGATTTACAATCCCGTCAGTATTAATTTCTTTTTAATTTATACTTTTCAAATTGCGACAATGCAATATTAATTATAAGTTTTATAATAAGTAAAACTTCGTAATAATCAATTTGGCATAAGATTTTACGTTAAAATAATTATTAATCAACTATTAAGTAAGTTATTAAATCAAGAACATTTGTTGAATCATTTTTGGGATGTGATATAATGCCAATATAAAAAAAATTTAAGAACAGTGATTTTATAACTTGCATTTGTTTTCCTCCGAAACGATAAACTCTTTATAATCATAGACGTTAACAAATTTATATCTAAAGTTTCATAAAGATTCCACATATGTAAATTTGCTTTAAATGCAAATTTAGAAAAAAAAAACACGCTTAATCAGGAGCAGTTATGTTTCGCGCTGTCCATTTAGTTTTTCGATATTGAGAAAGAGAATTTTCAATTCTTCGTGTCACCATCACACACAAGTACGATTCAATTTGCATCTCACGATTATACGATGTAAGTACGTTTTACACTTATATATATATTGATTTTTTCATGTATAAGTCTTTCTATTTTTAATTTCTGGAAAAGCTTTTCGATTTGTGCCCCCTTTGCCAGTCTCCCCATACGATGTATAATAGAAAACTAGCGCAGCGATCATTTCGCAAACGCAAAAGCGTTGTGCGACAATAACGCGGTATCTCAAAAAGGAAAACGCGAAGCAGATTAATAACGACGACGTCAAACAGTGCGCGCTCTCTCGCAAACCGAAACTCGGCGCGCGCGTACGAAAATAATGCCCGGAGCTGTTAACTTTTGCGACTGGCACAAAGCCCGGCCGTAATTAATGCCTTTAAACGTTTGCCGCGCAATGAGCTCCTTTTGTCAGTCGGATGCATTGTGCCGCACAAAAGTTTACAAACAGGTCGGAGCAGCAGCGCGATGTGGCAAAGCGCGACGCGACACGCCGCACCACGCCGCGCCGCGCCGTCAGGCTGAAACGAGAGATTTTCATTCGCGTTGTGCGTGTTTCGCACACCGTCGCGAATGGAAATGGCGGACCTCGATTTCGTCCGCGCGACGCGTCCCTTTAATCACTTAATTGTGTGAACGCTCGATTTCTCGCGCGAACTTCCGGCCCGTCGTGAAAACGCGTCGCTCGTTCGTTTTTTTTTTCAGCTGCGACTTCGTGCGATCGTAACGCAGTTACCGCGAGGTATCATACTGCTTTCGCGATGTTGTGCCTTTTACGAATTAGAAATTTATATTATTACATTTTGAAGAAATTCGCGATAAACGTCGAGTTTTCATACATATATATATAAGCTTGCGTCGAGCCTTAATGTCCTTATCGAGCAGTTTAACGAGAGATCTGAGACGTCTGATAACAATGCAAGTCGATCATCATGTGACCGTGAATTCGTTTGCGTGAAATTTCTCGCTTCTGATGTCGCAACTCCGATAAGGGTAAAAGTCATTTGTTTCGACGTGTAATTGGCCGAATTGATTTTCTTCAACGCCGCGCCACATCGGTTTTCCGTGAGCTTTCACGATTCCAGCGTAAAGCCAACCTCTCCGACCCTTTACTGGATATCGGAAACGCGCGTATAATGTTGCGATCGCGTAGCGTGCCCCTGGCGATAAAACGTTATATTTTTACTTTGATATATTCGTATGGCCGCGTATCATAGCACGTCTCTTGCCGCGAACTCTCAACGCGCGCGGCGCACACAACGAGATAATAATAAAAATTCCGCCAAAGGCGTAATCCCCGAAGTCGCCGGTGCCGCGCCGACAGCGCGTTTCCTAACGGAGCGAACGGGGGTTGGAGGGGGGAGGGAGCTTTAATGGTTGGGAAAAAAGGAAAACGGCCCGGAGGGGAGGGAGAGAATGAAGCGCGCGGCGAGCTTATCTTATTTTAATGCGCGGCATGCGGAGTCTCGTTCGCGATGAAATTGACAATTATCCCGCTCTTTATGCCCTACCGCTTATTCGAGCTATTTCGACCCGGGCATAACACACGGCACGACCGGTATGCCGCGAATTCTATTTAACCGTCGATAGCCGTAAAGTCATAAAACTGCCCCGCGGGCCCGCGCTGCTCTGCCGAAGATAACTAATTGAAAAGCGCAGAAA